GCGACCCTTAATGCTGGCAAAGGGGGCGCCCATGCTAGCTACTATCACAGAGCCAACAAACAGGTAAGGACAATAACAGCTGATCTATGATGTCCATGTGCAGCACGCTAAGGTAGATTTGTGTTGCCAGATCCAAGTTGGGGTGGAGTTTGAGGCCAGCACCAGGACGCAGGAGACCACCATGTCCTTTGGGTACCAGATGGAGCTTCCAGAGGCCAACATGGTTTTTCGAGGTAGTCTAAGGTGCTAATAGCTGAGGTTACATATTGCAAAAGAAAAGAGTAAAAATCCAGTGTATCAGATATCTTTATGGTGTGTATCCAGGTATGATCAACAGCCGGTGCATCATTGGAGGCGTGTTGGAGAAGCGCCTAACCCCGCTACCTGCCACTCTAATTATGGGAGCCTTTGTGAATCACAGAGGTGACAAGCTGCAGGTTGGCCTCGGCGTCAATGTTGGATGACCTTTCCCATACGCAAACTGTACAGGAGTGTGAGGACATCAAACCAGAGACATACATTTGAGCTTTTCTTTAAAGCACTGACATGAAGGATGTGTCTCATGCACCAAAAATGTTCTCTTTGTATCTCACCTTGCAACCTACCTCCAAATAATAAGGTTATGTTGGTGAAAGCTCTGTCCCAGAGGAATGGATGCTACTTCAGAAGGGTGCAACTATGGGGTGAACTTTGTTCCATTATTGTTGCAAGCAAATGCATTTTGTAAATGGTAGGTAAACTTCTCGAAGCTCCTTAGTTAAAAAAAAAAAAAAAAAAGTGTTTGGAAGGGAACTGTACTGTTTTCTGATATTTTATTTTTCAAATTTTTTTACAATTTTTTTTATTTTCAACTGATTAATTTTTTCAATTTTTTGGGATTAAATTTTACAAATTGCATTCGTTTTCAAATTGCGTTTTACAGATCGGATTCTCTTCACTTTTCTGTTGGTGTCGGCTGGATTTTAATAACAAAATTTTTATTGGTCAACAGCGAGCTTTAGAGTAAAGAGAATGTGATCTGTAAAACAATCTAAAAAGAAGGAAATTCATGAAATAAAATCTGAAAATAAAGAAACCTTTGAAATAAAACAACTTGAAAAATTAAGTCAGTAAAAAAATTTATACAAAATTATACAAAAACTAATATGAAAGAAGATAAATAAAAAAAAAAACAATCAGAAAAAGGCAAAGCTACTCTCAAAACCTGATTGGATAAAAACGTTTTTTTTTTAAATTTCTCTTCCTGATTGCATTTTTTTTTTGCTTTCAACAATAATTGAACAAAATTCCCTCCATACATCCCCTCTGCAGTAAGAGAGGTGAGATGAAAACTGTACTGTTTATTTAGAATAACAATTTTATACTGTGGATATTCATGAACTAACCTAAAGGTATATGAACTAAACAAACTTCACATGTTTGTGAATTAGCTAAATATATTATAATTTATGTGTTTTTGATCATCCCACAGGGTGTGTCTGAAAGAGAAATGACAAAAATTATGTTTACATGTTTTTCAGGAAATCAGTGGTTAAGAATTAAGCTGCGAACCAGATATCGAATAAAAATGTAACACATTTTGTGGCAGCTGTCCATCAGGCTTCATAGACCCCCTGTGGTTTATATTTTACTCATTTTTATTCAGGGTATCAAGGAAAGCAGATTTGATTTCTGAATTTAATTTCTGAAGTAGAATATAGACAGTATGTCCTTAAAAGTTAATTTCATGCACGTAGTTTGATCCTGAAAGAAACAGATGAGCCAAGCGGAGGAAACAGGGTCTTTGTGCAAACAGAGATTTCTTATATGTTTCCCAAAAAAGACATGTAGAAACATGAATCTGTCACATTTAAACCCTGTTTATCAAGTTCAGAATATGATAAATCTGCTGTGAATGTTTAATTTAATAGGGACATGGATTGAGGAACAAGATATTGTCCCTTTATTTCTGATGTTTTAATAAAAATCTTATTTATGTCATGACCCTTTTTCTTTTGTCTGTGCATAGTAGTGGAGGTTCGGGGAACTATTATTAAGTTTCAATATTTCTCACAACTGGTATGGAAAGGTAGGCCTACATTTGATTATATTTGAATTCATAATGAGATTTAGATTAAAAAGAGTCTCTCTAAAATAAATGGTCCACTTGTATTCTGTGAAGACCTTAGAGAATGTAACAGCATGCTAAAGACCAAAGAACAGAGCAGACAAGTTAGGGATAAAGTTTTGCAGAAGCTTAAGGAGAACCGTTAGGTATATCATCCCAAAATTAACAAGTGTGGAGGAACTTCAAAGCAGCAAAAACATGGCTGTCCACTTAAACTGACTGGCCTATGGTAGCTCTGGAGGAGTTCCATGCAAAGGTTTAAAGTTTAGCTTGAAGACAATCAAAATGGCAATATTCATAACCTCCTTAACATATCTGGGAATAGAATAAGGAAATGAATAAAATTATGTTTTTAAAAAAAAATCCAGAAGAAGAAATAGACCATGCATTTGATGCAGCAAAGGTAACATAAGGTGCCTCAGTCAAATGAGGCCAAATTCAACCTGCTGGCCAAACACTAAGCAACAGTGTCGATCACAACATAGTGGTGTGTCACTGTAATGTTGCCGTCACTGCAAACTTGCTACTTGTTTGTTTCAGCTGTAAACTAAGCAAAATTTGATCCGGCAAATCATTCAATCACAGGAAAATGAATGCTTAGTGTGAGGGATTGCCTTTGAGTCAATGAGTCGATGCAATCATCCGGTTTTCCTTAGATGGAAAACTAAATCAATTTCACTGTATGATCTGGTTGAGTTGTAAAGTGCCTTGAGATGCTGTGAAATTGTGCTATATTAATAAACTGAATTGAGTTGAATTGAAAAGGACACAAATACTCTAGTTTGATATTTTCTATACCAAATTCTATATATTTTTTCTATTTGGATAACCAAAACTGATATTCAGCTGCTTCAGGGTTCTAAAAACTTATGAACCATACTATTTATCTTAAATGACACTTATTTTTAGCTTTGTCTCAGATACTACTTTGCATGATTCATGACAGAAATAAGTGTGAATACTGACCCTGAGTTTTAAATAGAATAATGAAAGAGAACGAGACATTTACATATTTACATAAAAAGGAAGAAAAAAACGTTTTTATATTGTTGAAAAAAAATCACTTCATATTTTAATATTTTCATACAAAGTCTAAAATAATTATCATACTGTACATATATACACACAGAGAAAAGTTCATTCATTTGTAAACGTTCAATTTACTGATGTGGAGATTGATCATATAGTTCATCATCTGGGGCCAAAAGGACATAGGAGCCAAAATGGAGGCTTTCTCTCATTTGTCCTTGAATAGAGATGAAAAAAATCCTTTTCCTCCTTCACCCCTCACTCTCAAAGATTTGCTTCTTTGGAGTCCAAATGTGTTCTCCTTCTCCTGCTTGTCTTCTTTCTTCTTCTCCTCTTCCCTTTGCAGGACCTGTTGATTGATGACGAAACGCATGTCCTCCTGCAGTGGGACAAAATTTTAGAAGTCAGAAAAACCTTGATAAGGTCAAGGAGGATGAGGAGGTCATTTAGAGTTCACACAACCCAAACATGGGAACTGCAAGTCCCTTGAGATCATAAAATCTTGCTGGAATATTAAAAGATGTCAGAGAAGCTTTCCACTCATCCTTTTTCTTTTCTTGCTTATTCTTGCAGGGTTGAAAGTTTGGTGCTATCTCTGGTGCTCACTTAGGACAGGACAAATAAGGTATACATACAGTTATACCTGAGGGAAAATTAAAGTGACAGATTAACCTTATAGTTATAATATTTGGCTTTAGAAATAAGCTGGAGAACCTGGAGGGAACCTCTGAATGTAAGAGGACACACGCAAAGCCATGCAAGGCACCTACATGTGCAAATGTGTACTACTTTTGATATAATTCAAAATAGATTTTACCTACTCATTGGATCATTGGGACATCATTGTTTCAGGGTGTTGAGATATTGCTAAACTAGAAGCCATTAGTGTAATTGGGGAGATAAATCAGGACACCTGGACATAGCTTGGTGGTGTTCCTCAGGGGTTTGTTGTTGGTCCTCTTTTAAGTACCAGTCGGAAATAAGCGTTCATATTCAGAGTCAGTGGTGGAACGTTAGAGCAGATTATGTGACAGCTCTATATTCTTTGTGTGGCTTTTTATTTTGGAAACATAGAGCCACCAGAGCAGCAAAAGTCACAGCATTTTAAGGTGAAGAGCTTATCGCTCTAAGAATATCTTTTGATTAATATAATTTTATTATAAAATACTTGTTTATCATGTGGAAACAAAATCCTCAATATTTACAGAAAAAAACAATACAATATATTTAGCAATTCTGCATTTCAAATGAATTAATGTGATATCAACAAAATGTCTCACGTGGTAAAATAAAAAGTTTATACTATAACGTTAGATATGCAAGCTTACAAACAGGATGTTTTTTTTTCATGATTGTATCACATTTAAATCAAGATTGTACCAGATAAACCCATTTCTTACAGTATAAATACATTATTAAAAGACCTTTCAATGAAAATGTTCTGTATTTATAGATTAAGTGGCAAATTACAGCTCTGAAGTAATTGTGGTTTCTGAATTACAAACAGTGCATGTTGAGTGTCCAGCAGTTTTTCATATATTTGAAGGGACGCACACCAAAGGAGACTTTTGATGAAATGTTAAACGTTTTAAAAGGTCATATGTTGGGGCATCATCACCATAAGTTACTTTAATTTCATGAACGACGGGAGACTTCTGATGAGTTAATCTATAGAGGTATAAATGATTGCACATGCAAAATTTCAGCTAGATTAAACAACTGGAAGTGGATCAGAGGCAGAGGCATTACTTATTGAAGGTCCCTCGTATGTAGACTGTCAGCATCACATAGATGATCATTTACTGTAATGTATTGGTTCAAAAAAATTTTTTTCGTTGATTAAAACCTTCATACGCAGACTCACCTGCCAGGCATCCAGCTCTTGGGTCAGCTTCACCTTCTGTTTGATGGTGTTCAGAAGCTGCTGAGTGAGCAAATCTTTCTCCTGATGAACTTTAGCCAGCTCACTCTCCAGAGAGCTGCAAATAAAATCCCCCAAAAATTGCCTTTAATTTTTTATAATAGTAAAATCCAAAGAATTAATCTTTTAAAGAAAATCTAAGATAATCATTCTTTATATTGCAGCCTCACCTATAGCTCGGCTTCTCTAGGCTGCCTCTGCAGAGCTTTATTTCGTCCCTGAGAGACCCGAGCTCTTTTTGGTGAGACTGAAGCTGCCAAGAAAGAGTTTAAATGTCAAATGTCAGGTTTTTTTTGCATTAATTATCTTCAATACATTAACTGATAATTCCTCCTCTGGAAAATAAAACATCAGTTTTTTACTCAGAGAATCGATTTTCAGTGATCTCAACATCATATAATGATCCCAGGTTTGTACCTTTAGACATCAAAACTTGTATCATTGTCTTAAAAATGTTTCCACTGAATGCTTTCTAAAGCAAACGCATTGAAGCTTATTTTCCTTTCTTTTTTTTTGCCTGCCTTCCTTAAATGAAGCAATTTCCTTTCCTTTGGTGTGCTGCTGTTTCATTAACATGAACCCTGAACTAGTATGTAGATCTTAACAGACCTCTTCCTTTAAGGCTTGTATTTCTTCATCTTTGGCCTGCAGCACTGAGGAATGAGCCAGAAGAGCCTCTGTAGCCTATAAATAACAGGAAACAAGAGCAAAAAATGTAGAAATGGATTTTAACATATCATGTGTTCTAATAGATTGTGGAGACCAGTTAGTTTTAGTCACTTTTAATAAAAGGCATGTGAGTAGAGGGTAAGAATTAGTGTAAAGTTCCTGCATGTGTTTTTCTTTCAGTACCTGTGACTGTTGAATTTCACTGAGCAGAGACAAAGGTTGTGTGTGCGTACTATCCAGGGGACTGTCCTCTCCGAGGTTCAGTGCTTTTTGTTGTAAAGAGTGATTCAAGCTCCTTAACTCAAACACAACCCCCTGCTCCTGCTCTATCTACGTACACACACAACACACACTATGTAAAAAAACAAGCAGGAGGACCAAGTACGATTTCACAGCAGCTATGTTAGTTTGTCTGTTAGTGATGAGTTGGTGTCATTATTAGGAAGGATCCTCACCTCTGCTTCCTTCTCACTCAGTTTAACCTGGAGTTCTGATATTCTGTCCCTCAGTCCGTCTCTTTCAGCACGGAGCCTCTGGCTGTCGTCCTCTGAAGCTTTTAGCCGGGTCTCAAGGTGTGACAGCCGCTCCTGCAAAACTTTGTTCTGTATGAGAAAAATGAGGGAAGAATCACTAAGTTTTCAAGCTTCAATTAATGTAGAAAGTTTGATTAGATTTTTTCATAAAAGTCTAATTATACTGTATGTTGATTTAACATATAGCTGGAAAGAATAAATAATTAAAATATATATTTTTTTATAATCTTAATTAAAAATGATTGCATAGAACAATGTTTCTGTATTCTATAAAACACTTCCAACTAACTATACAGCATCTTTTGAATGATTGCATTTGGAATTTGGACAAACCTTCTCATTCAAATTGTTTTCTTTATTTTCATAACTATGAAAATTGTAGATTCACACTGAAAGCATCAAAACTATGAATTAACACATGTGGAATTATATACTTAACAAAAAAGAGTGAAACAACGGAAAATATGTATTATATTCCATGTTATTTAAAATGGCCACCTTTTGCTTTGATTACTGCTTTGCACACTCTTGGCATTCTCTTGATGAGCTTCAAGAGGTAAACACCTGAAATTGTTTTCACTTCACAGCTGGCCCCTGTCAGGTTTAATAAGTGGGATTTCTTGCCTTATAAATGGGGTTAGGACCGTACGTTGTGTTGTGCAGAAGTCAGGTGGATATTGAGCTGATAGTCATACTGACTGTTAGAATTTGTAATATGGCAAGAAAAATGCAGCTAAGCGAAGAAAAATGAGTGCCCATCATTAAATTAAGGTCAGTTAGTCCGAAAAAATTGGCAAAACTTTGAAAGTGTCCCCAAATACAGTCTCAAAAACCATTAAGCACTACAAAGAAACTGGCTCCCATGAGAACCGCCCCAGGAAAGGAAGACCAAGAGTCACCTCTGCTGCGGAGGATAAGTTCATCCAAGTCACCAGCCTCAAAAATAGCAGGTTAACAGCAGCTCAGATTAGAGACCAGGTCAAGGCCACACAGAGTTCTACCAGCAGATACATCTCTATAACAACTGTTAAGAGGAGACTGTGTGAATCAGGCCTTCATGGTAAAATTGCTGCTAGGAAACAACTGCTCATGGACGGGCAACAAGCAGAAGAGACTTGATTGGGCTAAAGAACACAATGAATGGACATTAGACCAGTGGAAATCTGATGAGTCCAAAATTTGAGATCTTTCGTTCCAACCATCGTGTCTTTGTGCGACGCAGAAAAGGTGAACGGATGGACTCTACATGCCTGGTTCCCACCATGAAGCATGGAGGAGGAGGTGTGATGTTGTGGGGGTGGTTTGCTGGTGGCACTGTTGGGGATGTATTCAAAATTGAAGGCATACTGAACCAGCATGGCTGCCACAGCATCTTGCAGCTGCATGCAATTCCATCCGGTTTGTGTTTAGTTGGACCATCATTTATTTTTCAACAGGACAATGACTCCAAACACACCTCCAGGCTGTGTAAGGGCTATTGACCAAGGAGAGTTATATGGTGCTGCACCAGATGACCTGGCCTCCACAATCACCAGACCTGAACCCAAACGAGATGGTTTGGGGTGAGCTGGTCTGCAGAGTGAAGGCAAAAGGGCCAACAAGTGCTAAGCATCTCTGGGAAATCCTTCAAGACTGTTCGAAGACCATTTCAGGTGATTACCTCTATAAGCTCATCAAGGGAATGACAAGAGTGTGCGAAGCAGTAATCAAAGCAAAATGTGGCTACTTTGAAGAACCTAGAATATAAGACATATTTTCAGTTGTTTCACACTTTGTTGTTAAGCATATAATTCCACATGTGTTAATTGGAAGTTTTGACACCTTCAGTGTGAATCTACAATTTTTATAGAAAATAAAGAAAACTCTTTGAATGAGAAGGTGTGTCCAAACTTTTGGTCTATACTGTATATAATATACATATATATTCATATACATGTTTGTACAGTTGTTTTCTGAATAAGCCCCCCTTTACAGTTTCATTCGATTTTTTGGTCAGAGTTAAATGTTTAAGATTTTCAAACTTCATGTAACATGAAAAAGTATAATTATAGTGAATACAAAATGCAATACAAAAGAAAAAAAAATCGGGTTATGAAAAAAATGCAGATGATACATTTTCTCAAGTTTTCAAGTCCACCTCTACTTTCACATTCATTTTTTAATTCAGGGTTTTAAGTTACAACGAAACAGAATTTAAGTTTTTTTTTTCAAACTCAAAAGCAAAATTTTAATTTTTAAATTGAAGTCTTGAATGTAATAAGTTTTTAACGTCAGCTGGCTTTGAAGTTTGAGTTATTACAACTCTTTTTTTTTTTTTTACTTTGTACCACGGTTTTCCAGAAACCTGCACACAAAGTTATCTGCATTTTAAATGACATCACACTCTGAAACAGAGATGGGGGATCTGGAGTCAACAAGTTATCTCTTTGTCATGTATTTGTTCTACCCTGCCACTGAACCAGGTGAGTCCAATCTGGTTTAACCTGTGCAGATTGGACTCACCTGGTCAGAACAAATACATGACATAGAGATGACTTGATGACTCCAGATCCCCCGTCTTCACTCTGAAACGCAAACTGCTGGATGGCTCTGAGTTATCGGGCAGATAACATTCCCTCTGTCACAGAGGAGAAACAAAAAAGGCGCACAAAGATGTCAGGAAATCACTCCAAGCGTTTGGTAATACAAACTAGGCTTTTGTCACGTCGGTCAACAGAACTAGGACACAAAACAACACTAGGCCTAACAAAGAAGGAAAAACTGACACTCAAACATTGCCATTCAATATGTGTCAGGAGTTTCTGAGAAACTAAGAAAGATTTTCTCTAAAGAAAACATGCAGGTGAATTTCAAACCAAACAACACTCTTAGACAAAAACGGGTTACTCCCAAAGACAGAAAACCCAAACCAAAGCTGAGTAATGTTGCATGTGGTCCAGTGCAGCAAGGAATGATTCCTACATGATAGAAAGCCCAACAGGAACTACATGAATCCATGGTGTAGAAGAGGGAAGCCAGCAGTTTTTGGTAAGAATCAGCTGTACACCTGTCCCTCAAGAGCAAAGGGCACAGCTTTGATCTTTTATATAACACCCTCATTCTGGTCAAGATACAAGAAGTACACATTTCACACCAAAAACAGACTCCAACAGTCCAAGATGATGACAGGTTGTTCGTTGATTTGCATCTGACTTAGATATGCCTTGGAGGATGGACCTCCATGTGATTAATAAAAAAGCAGAATTCTGTATGCGAGACCGGAGGGTTGTTGGTAGCCTGGGTGCCATTCCGAACTTAGTCCCGCCCACAAAGTTTGAGGTCTGGAAGTTCAGTCTGGCATTGCTCAATAGTAGCGTGAGTATGCTCGCACAATATCTGGCGGGCCAATCAAATTGTCAGGGCGGGCTTTATACAATGATGGACAGATGATCAACAGTAACGTAATCAACCACGTCACCAAAGCGCGCTTGGGTGACAACAACAATGGCTGCCACTGGAGAGATGAGGTGTGTAGATTCTGCTATTAGGTCTGTTCTAGAAGATATCGACAGCAAATTAATTTTAAAAGAGCAACAGAGAAACACGATCAAGGCTCATCTTCTTATTCTAGGCGTGCAACTGCACGCTTTGATTTTTGTTGACAACAACTATACATCGCTTAACATACGTCACGCACTCCGTTGCTCTTATTGGTTGTAGGTCTATCCAATTCAGTGCAGAGGCATTTTTTTGCCCCATAATCACAGCTCTATGGAGCAGTATCAGACTCATATTCTGACTAGAATTGAGTAGGACTACGTCAGGCTAGGTTGTTGGGTCCTTGGGCAAGACACTTCACCTGCATTGCCTAGTGATGGCCCCAGTGTGCGGCATCCTTGCTTATGTCAGTGAGGCTCAGAGAAGCTGTGGTTGCAATGTCGCAGTGCGTGGGTGAATGACTGAATGTAGTGTAAATTGCTTTGGTCGAGTCCTCTGACTTCAAAAAGCGCTCCATAAGTACAGGTCATTTTACCATTTGTATATAGGCTTCTCTAGTGCATAGATATGCTTTAAAGCATTTTAAGAAAAACTGAACAAAAGTCTGGTTGCCTCCTATCGAAGCCTGTTCTGTAGACAGAAAATATTTTTTAGGCTTTGTGTAAAATAGAGATTTAGTTGGTAAGAAATATAGATAAAGCAAGCATTGAACAGTAGTGAGCCTTCCCAAGGGTGGCTGTCCTACCAAAATTACTCTAAAAGTGCATTAATGGCTCGTCCAGGATGGTCACAACGCAGAACATTCAAAGAACTGCCGGCTCACCCGTCTACTTTCTGGTTGTTGAGCTGTAGGTGATGCAAATCTGCCAAACATTTACAGTAACATTTCTAAGAGTTAAACTACTTTCTTTTTTCCGTACTATCTGGCATGAAGCTAGAACATCTTTTTGCAATATCATCGTATAAACAGACAGAGCGAGCAGATGTAGAATGTAAGTCTAGGCTTACTTTGCTGGTTCAGGTCCTGGATGATTTGGAGAATTTAATGGAATCATGAATTCTGCTCACGGCAAGAAAGTCTAGGGGGAGACTCTTTGGCCATCAGTTTGGATTTTAAGTGCTTAAGAACAACAATCAAAACCAACAAGCAAGTTTATTTCCGAACGGCTTTGAAAGAACAAATGAAGGCTTTGGCTTTGACCTGGTCAAAGTCTTAACTTAATCTGAATAATTCAATGCAGCATGACGTTAAACAGGTTGCTCACGCACCAGAAGGTCAGCATAGCTGAATTAATATATTTTTGGTAAAAGAACAGGGGCAAAAACATCCTCAAAAGCTGTTCCAAATGCTTGATGGCATTTCTTGCAAATAAACATCTTTGGGTTTTGGGGCAACAGTTTGGTTTTCTTAATTTTTTTAATAATAGATTTATGATCAAAACATGATAAATCTGTAAGAATACAAATACTTTTATTCAAACCAAGCACTGTACTAAAAATAATTTATTAATACCTCTGTTTGCATATTTTCCAATTGCGTGAGGCTGATACTTCGGCTAAAAGATGACTCTTCCATCTCTTCTCTGAGGGCACGGAGCTCAGTCCTCAGGGAGTGCTCCAGTGTTACAGCCTAGAAAACGTGTGGGAGATGAAAAGCTGTGGAACCTGTTTGTCTGCATAGCAGCTAATAATGTCCACATGATGTGACTCAACACACAAGAGAAAATTATCCAACCTCAGCAAGCTGCTCCACCAGCCTCTGGTTGTGATTGGCCAACTGAGCCATCTGCTCGCTGTCATCTTTTCTCCGGTCCCTCCCCTCGCTGTGGTATTTCTCCAGCTCAGCCCTCAGTGCAGCTAAATCTGCAGTGAGCTCTGACTCCTTCTGCCCAGACTCCAACTCATTCATCTCCAGCTTCCTCTGCAGGACATGTTTCTCTTGCTGTAAAGCCTGAAACAACAAAGTGCACGTTAACAAACTACATGACATTTATAAAACATCTATAAATTCCAACAGAATTGCATAAACCACTGCATAGTGCTCCCACAATGCATGTCTGGATTTTAAGACATTTGAACATTTGTTATTGTTTATCATTGTAATTTTTTGGCACATATTAATTTTCTAATAATTTAATGAATTTTAAAATTTAAGAAATTTGCAGGATTATTTAGTAAAAGTGCTAAGAATAATCTTGATTGATAGCGCATTAACATATTTAGAATAGGATGCTATGAATTTGAGTTCAATTTGTTCAGAAATACTTCTCAATAAATAATGTCTGACTTTAAAGTGCTCACCATTAAGAGTAGGTCTTGGCCTAAAGGTAACCAAATATGAACACATCTGTAAATGAGATGGTGTGTGAGTGAGTGAAACAAAAACATAAATGTTTTTAGATTCTCCATATAGTAGATGTCTGCTGGTTTGTGAAAAAGTTTTAGATGTGTGAAGATGGATGAATTAATGTGTATACAAAGTTTTTACCTCCTTTTTCAATAAAAAGGCCCAATGCAGGGAGAGCGGGCTTTAATTTCAGTCATTATGAAACGATTCCTAATTCGTCTGCTTAACTGTTTCTTGCCCAGACAGAGCCACCTATGGAGGTAGTTTACTGTTACCTTTTCTAACATAGAAAGTTTTTGTAGATCAGTGCTTCTGTTCTTTTTTGTGTCTGCTTCTGCCTGCTTGAACAACCAGTCGGCTTTGAGGACAGCCTGGTACTGCTCAAGGTTTCTTCCTGTGAAAAGGGAGCTTTTCTTTCCCACTGTCACTGCATATATGTTTTGTGATTACTGTAGAGTCAATGACATAATGTAAACAAAATATCTGCTATTACCAAATGCTCATGCAGAACGAGCGATTACTACAACATCAATTCAATTCAGTTTACTTATATAGCGCCAATTCACAACACAAGTCATCTCAAGGCACTTTACAGTTCAACCAAATCATACAGTCAAATTGATTCAAAGTTTTCTATCTAAGGAAAACCAGTTGATTGTATTGACTCAAATACAATCCCTCACACTAAGCATGCTTGTAGCGACAGTGGAGAGGAAAAACTCCCTTTTAACAGGAAGAAACCTCCAGCAGAACCAGGCTCAGTGTGAGCGGCCATCTGCAGAGGCCGACTGGGGTTCAAGGAGACAGAAGCCCATCAATGACTCGATGCAGTCAGTGGGTTTTCCTTAGAAAGAAAACTTTTTACCAATCTGTCTGTATCATTTGATTGAATTGCCTCTATAAAAAACATTGAGATGACATGTTTTGTGAATTGTGGCTATATGAATAAACTGAAATGAAAATTGATCAACTCTGTGCATTGCATTGGCTTCAAGCTGTCTTATGTGACTAGGATTGACGAGTGTCCCTTTGAAATAGGTAAATAAAATAAAAAATAAGCAGTTATCTGAGATTTGAAAGCTCAGCTAGTTAAAGTTGGCCCTCCCAGATTTCACTAAGTCTGCGCTGAAGCTCTCTGGGGTCTATGCACAACTCCACTACTGCCTGAACAGGCTCTATGCACAGCTCCACTACTTCCTGAATTTAATCCAGCTCCTTTGTTTCCTGTCTTTCATGATTGGATG